GTGTAGGCCTGGAAGAAGCTCGCGGATGCGCTGGCGTGGATATGAGGAGGTAGATGGGGAAGTCATGATGATTTGTTGTGTGATTTTGAGAGATGCGTTGACAAGTGGTATAGGATATGTGTAGCGCTCAAAACAGACTCCACGGCTTGAGTTTGCCTTGAGGCCTCACGATATTTATACCATAAACTTCGATCCAAAGTTACTAAAGAGAAAATTGATGACAGGTTTCTGCTTCTGTCCTTTCCAGGCACCAGTCTCATGTTCCGCTTTGCTATGTGGTGGACGGCTCGCCGTTGGGACACCATAATCCCTTGGGGGAGACGCATTAGGCAGGTGCACAGTATTCTGACCCGCCATAGTATTAGGCCTGCCGTCAGGTTATACCAATTATATCAATAATTGCCGCGAAGCAGTGCAACAACAATGTGAACTACATCCTACAGGCACCTTCTGGCAATGCTCATAGTGAGTCATCTTGGCGAGACCCCGCCCTCGTACATGACTAGCGTACATCCTCCTTCCCCTGCGCGTAATCACCGCTTCTTCACTTCTTTCGCCTATCGCACCACATCGGCTGACGAGTAAAAACATACCATAAACTTTATAGCTAAGCTTTTACTTTTCTCCGATCACCCACTGTATCGGCGGTATCTGAAATGTGCAATTTTGTCAATGCCGCGAAACTCCCGATGTGTTCACGACTCAGTTGACAGATCTGTTATCGGAATACCGGTTCCTGCATAGCGTACTTCCAACATTGCAAGCTTGACCCTCTCAAGTTCAGACTCCCATGTTGTGCCGCTTCGGACTTGTCTGACGTAGTCGGCCCGCTGTTCAAGTCAATACATAGTCTCTCCCCACTCTTGCTGGAAGATAAAGAAAAGTTTGTAGCCGGACTGCTGGCGATACCAACTTCCTCCCCATCGCCATTTGCACCAGGATGTTGTCGCGTCTTCTCGTGGTTGGGCTTTTGAGCCTGGCGAAAACATCTTCAGCGAGCTATGGATTCTACGTCGGCAAGGCACTCACACAGGATGGTAGCGTTATGCTGGGTGGAACGGGTGAGGAAGTGTCGTCGCATTGGCTTCAGATCTTCCCTGCCAAGGATCACAAGGCGAACGACACCATTGTGGTCGGCGTTACGGAAGACGCAGTGATGCCGGGAAAGTTGATGAACATTTCGCAAGCACCGCATACCTTCCGCTATCTTTCCATGGAATACTCCGACTTTGAAGGGTTTCCGGCGCCTCTCACAAATGGGGGTGTTAACGAAAAGGGCGTTGCTGTACGCGATATATGGGCTCAGAACCGGGATGATCTCATTGCCATGACACCAAACCCGCAGACGGGATTGCAATACTCTGACCTGGCCCGTATTGTGCTGGAGAGAGCGAGTACTGCAAGAGAAGGCGTTGAACTTATTGGACAAATGATCGCCGACTATGGCTATGCCGACTATGGCGGTAACTCGCATCTCATCGCTGATGCAAACGAAGGCTGGGTGGTTTGGGAGATGTCAGGCGGCCAGAAACTCTGGGCGGCAGAGCGTCTTGGTGAAAACGATGTGCGCGTTCTTTACCCCGGCTATATTGAAGACTTTCCTGTGGACTTTGAAAATAACCCAGACTACATGGGTAGCCCCAACATTGTGAGTTTTGCGGTTGAGCAGGGCTGGTGGAACCCAAACAGCACCAAGCCTTTTAACATATTCAACGCATACGCACCCCAAGAAGAGGGATACACTGCACGAGACGGCGGAGCGAAGTACATGTCACAAGCTGCGCTTGAAGATGCGACCCGCGCAATGGCTCCTGTAACGGAGAAAGACCTCATTGAGCGCGTTCGCGACTACAGAATCTCAGACGATGAAGCCGGTTACGGCCAAGTCGTGTCCCTACGTCCAAATATGGACCCTGATCTGATCCGTGTTTGGATTGCGCCTACCGGTTCAGTAACAGCACCTTTCAACCCATGGTGGCTGGGTGTCAAAAGCATTCCGCCAGAGTATGGACTACATCGCTACCTGTACAAGGATGCCGCAGCAACATTTCTGGATACTGACTACCAGTATCAAGAAGCCACCCAATTTGCTGGACGCATCTTCAAAAAAGTACTCTACTACACGTGCTCAGATCCCGAAAGTTATCTGCCCGTTGTGCAAAACATGCTGCACGGATTTGAGAATGCATCTTTTGCTGACATGGAATGGGTCGAAAGAGCTGCCCATACAATGGTGGAGGCCGGGCAACGGGAGCACGCACTGGATCTTTTGACATTCTACTCGCATGCAAGAGCAGAGAAGGCACTGGCGCTTGGAAGGACCATGGCCGATGCCCTTGATGCATATGTGAAGCTGACGGGTCAGTTCCGCATGCCGAGTGGCGATCGAATCAATGATCCTGGGCTTGGGGCTGAGACAGTAAACTGTTTGGTAGGATGGGATCCGGTGAGTTAGACATGAGTGTAGAGATGTTTGGTACATACTGATGTTATTGTTCTAGGATCAACCAGCTGACAAGCAGAAACCTTTGAAGAAATTTCGACGATCAAAATGACTTGGACAAACGGTCCGGAGCTACCGGGACAAACAACACCCTCTCGGTACTTGAGATGCTGGAGACAATGATCGAATACAATGATACTTGAGCAGAAGGAGCAAATATATAGAGAATGTGTACTGCAGGTTCGAGCCTGGGATGTGATTGCAGACCAAGAATGACTACGGTAGCCACCCAATACTGCCATTGACGGGCTGACAGGACTCTAAGCCGAACCCATGTGTATCGATTATCCACAAGTAAACCAAGTGGACACCGCATCCATGCGACTGCCATTGTTGGCACCTGCGCAGCATGCATAGCGATTACGCGAGCCTCGATTTACCCGGTCATCACGCCACGACTTTGGCGGTAGGCGTTTTAATCGTCACCAATCTGTTAGTCCTTTCAGGCAACGTGGTTTCAGAAGGAGCGTTATCAAGCATTTGTACCATTGACTTGCATGTTGCGTCTCTATCATGCAGAAGGTAGCAGCTAAGTGCTACGAACGAGGAAAGGCTTGTACACGTCTGTCGACCAAAAACCGAGCGCATGGTAAGACTATCACGATACCAGGCATCTGTGGTAATAGGCCGACGAGATAACGGAAGCTCCGACTCTACGGCCAAGAACGCTTGACAGCAGTATCTAACCATTGGTTGATGCTTAACACTGGACTAGCTCGACAGCCAACCTTTGGTGCCAGCAGCAAGCCACCATTTTGGACCCTTACCCATTACCTACAGACTGCAGGAACCACTCGTGTATGTGGATGCAAGGATTACATAATGGTTAGCCTGAACATTCTATTCGCTGGTTGGGCTACTTAGATCGGTTTACCGTCTTTCGCTTGGACGCCGCACGGGACTACTGCAAGGCCGGGACTACTGCAAGGCCGGGACACGGGCTAGAAGGCAGAAAAAAAATCGAACGTTGGATCCCTCCAAAGCACAAACTATCGAGCGGCTGAGGGTTACGCAAGTATCAGGCAGAGGATTCACTCGGTGTCTGTGACATGAGTGTTTTTCCTTTTCTGTTAGGTGATGGACCTTGTGCGTTTAGAGGATTTGGAGGAAGAGCGTCCGACTCCACAGCGCGTTGATACATGGCCTAGAAGAGGCATTTTCTCTTCTCTTCTTTCAAAGACATGTCAGAATGGCTATGACGCTGTTGTTATCGAGGCCCCCAGTACACGATCTGGGGAACTCTTTGCCCATCTGACGCATCTTATCGATGCTGAAGTAATATAGCAACTGTATTTGCCAGCTAAAAAAAAACCGATACTACAGTATGCTCTGGGTTTACCCCTCGCGAGCGAGCCGTCTATCCCACTGACCGCAACTTTTGATAAGTAAAAGACACGGGAGAGGGAGAAAGGACTTGTGATGTCAGCACGGTGTAAAGTTATCGGCCCCATACAGTAAGATTCTTATTCGGCCTAGCAACCGGCTTTTTCGGAGCAAAGCATGTCGCTTCCTTCCATACAAAAAAACGGAATTCATGTTTCCGGGTTCCTTCGGTATCCCGGGCGAGTGTGATAACGACGATCGGTTATTGGATCGTGATGTGGCGGGTCGAGATACCCGTCCCAAAGCTTATTTTACCACGGCGTGTAAGCGGGATGACACGGGGTGTCCTAGTTGTACCAACAGCAAAAACGTGCCAGTTACACTTTGAGATCCGGCAGATACGTGAGCGCAGCTTTTCTTTCTTTTTTATATTTAGAAACACAGTGAGTGAGAGGGGAACGAATGTGTTGTACACTTTTCCTTCTAATTGTACTACACTGAAAAAAAAGTTCATGCAGGAATCCTTTTTTTTCGTTGGTTGTCAAAGACATACATGTCTCGCTTTACCCAGTAGTCAGCCGCATCGCACTATTGAACTCTAGCGTCATCATCTCCCCATTTCGATAGAGAGAGAGAGCGTGAGAGAGAGACGGAGAGCCGACGACATCCGATCAGGGATGTAGGCCGGTTTGTACGCATGTACCGTGCCGTTAGGGTAAGCTATTCTTGCGCCCACCCGCGAGCTTTTTCCACCACTACGCTGGAGAGGATTACAGGTGCATGGAAGGATCACTCGGATGGGGGCGACTGTGTACCATAGACGGGAAGGCCAAGTGCTGATGCGTACGTGCGTACGTGCGTGCGTGCATGTGCCGAGCATTGAGGCAAATATCTGTACGTGTGTACGTACTTGGATGAGAAAGGGAAAAGGGAAGGGAAAGGCTGGTCAGAAGAGTTAGCTGAGAAAAAAAAGGTATAAAGTATAGAGAAGTATGCATGCTCTTTCTTTCTTCTTTGAACAATAACCAACCCAATCTACCACTTCATCCCCAAATCCCCCTCCAGGAAACTTGATAACCAAGAATCTTTGGGAGAAAAAAAACAAAGACATACTACTTTTAATTCGATCTTAATCACTACATCCTTTTCCACCTCACCAAAAAACAACAACAAAATGCACGCCTTCACCCTCGTAGTCGCTACCCTGGGCCTCGCCTCTGCATCCCCCATCTCGCACCTCTTCTCCGCCCGTTCCCCCGCCCCCCGCGACATCGTCGCCTCCGTAGACCGCTACGCCGGCGCCAGCTGCACGGGCAAAATCTGCAACATAGCCGGATCTGGGGATCTGGTATCTGGCTGCAACGCCATTACCGATGATTGCGTTGCGAGTCTCAAGTTGAACTATGCTAACAAGGGGTGTTCTGGTACGTATTCTCCCTCTCTCCCTTCTCTTCATATTTTTTTTCTTTTGTTGTTATTTCTGGGAGGGAGTTGGGGTGGAGTGTGAAAGAGAGATAAGGAATTGCTAATGTTTTTTATGTGTGTAGTCAAGGTTTTTGCGGATGACAAGTGTAAGCACGAGGCTGGGGCTGTGGGGTTGCAGACGGCGGGCGTGTGCAGTGCGCTTGCTGGTAGTACGCCGTTTAAGAGTATTTATGTTACGTGCTAGGTGGGCTGAGAGAGAGAGAGAGAGAGGAAAGGGATGATATGACGAAGAGATGCATGAGGATATGAGAAAAAAAAGGTGACACAGTGATGATTATGAAGATATAGAATAATGTCTAGCCACGCTCATTAATTTGTAAACATTTGATATGAAGAAAGGGAGTTTAAAATTTCATCTTCTCGCTCTTCTTTTCGTTCCCATGTATTGTGACTGCCTTTGCAGCTGATATGTCTACATACTTTACACAACATCGGCGAAAGAAACAAGAAAACACGCTCTTTTGAATGGGTATCATAACCAACCTATTGGTATTATAACTCAACTAGCCATCTATTTTGCCGGACTAGCAACTCTATCCACCGGACTCGCCGTCCGGGCTGTGCCTACACCCGAAGCCAGCAATTCTAATCTTGAGGCTTGGACACGGTGTTTCTTCATAACATCAACCCATTCCTCATCTGCCTCGCTCTCTTCTACACTCTCGTCTAGCTCTGCGCGTAAATCTTCTTCGAGTAGCGCAATCATTACACTAAAGTCTGCACCGAGTCTGCCCAGCGAGCCAGCGCAGTAGAGGACCTGTGTGAGAAGCGAGTCTCTTGCTGAGCGATCTTGTACATTGGGCAGATAGTCGCGCAGTGTGTCGAAGAGCATTTCTACGAGGTGCAAAGGAAAAGTAGCGAGTGCAGAAGGGATGGGCTGAAGAGGATCAGACGAGTCGACGGGCTTGACAGCCGGGGCTGCAGCGTCTTCGGATCCTGGTGCAGGGAGAGCAGAAGGAAAGATGCTTTTGTACATGGATATTATGGCGAAGCTTTGTTCGCGGAACACTTCGAGGTACTTTTTCAAGTACTTTTCCGTTTGTTGGCCAACGGCCCAACCATTGTCGGCGACTTTTGTGGTCTTACTCGTGCGCTTCGAAGTTTCCTGATCTGCAAGGTCGCGGAGAGGGGATAGGGCTTCGAGCATGGACTCGAGGCAGACTAGCCTGCACACAAGGAAGAGCGCGCCCAAAGTGCCTTCACCACTACCAATGGCGGCCTGTTTGGTGGACCATGATTCATCCAGCTCGGGCGCAACACGGCGGAGCCAGCCAATGGTTCGCATTGCACCTGCCAACTTGATTCCCTGGGCCTGGAGAGCTGTGATAAGGTTGGTGGTCATGGTCTTCATCTCCTGCTCGGCTTGAGCTGTGAGCGAGGAGACCAGAGGCGAGTTGGGGTAGAGAGTATGCAGGCGCTTGACGTGGGCATGAAGATCAAGGGCTGAGGCATAATTTGCATTTGCGGTGGCCGTGGATGAGGTCGCTTGTGCGGCGGCCGTCGACGAGGCTATGGCAGACGAGAGGAGGGTCGGGAGGTCGAGGACATCGGAGACGCGGTCAATGTTGCGCGAAAGCAGCATGGCTTTTCTCCGCCTGTCTAGAATGGCATTGTCGGCACCTCTACTGTATTTGTCGGAGAAGCGTTGTGCTGCTGTTTCGAGCGCGGGCAGCTCGGCGTGGACGGTTGCTGCATCGTGTCCAATGTGCGGGAGAGTGGTGCGCAGATGCAGCAGGTGGTCGGCCGAGGCAATGATTGGCTTGTGAGACTTTTTGGAGAGGGCCTGAATGGAGCGCAGTATTGATTGCGAGCTTTGGGCTAGCGATTGTTGCTCCGATGAGGTGAGGGCTGGTAGCGGGAGGGTGGTTAGGCGGGAGAGGTAGGCATTTGTGGCAGCGTCGTTGGGGACAGGGTGGGCATCGAGGTAGGGAACGAGGAGGTCGTAGAGGGCGTCAGCCATGGTGTATATGGGTGGTCATGTGTGTGTATGTGTGTGGGAGTGTAGTGTAGTATGTACGTATGTACATGTACGGTATAGAGTAGATGTGGACCCCTGCAGGCATTGACGCTTCACATGCGAGAAAGGCCCCGCCCAAGAAAGTATCCCAGCACCTTCATTCATCTCGCCCTGTCCAGCGCCGCCAGCTTCTTCGCACCCCGGGGCAGCGCACTCCCAGCCGCACACACCGGCCCCCGCCCATCGACTCCCCAAATGCAAAGCGCCCAGCATGTCGTCTTCTGCGTCGAGGACACGGTCGGGCTCATCGACGACAAATACAGCGTCGGCATCATAGAGCGCTCCTTTGGCGACGTCGACTCGCACGAGCCCCGCCCCCAGCGCGACTATCCCGACGACATCGAGTGCCATGGCGACATTCCCAAAGACCAATTCGCAAAGTTTATCAAGGACGGCATCCCCCCGCGCGGCACCGTCCTCGTCTCGTGGCAGACGCAGTACAAGACAGAACTCATCCCAGAGGCCAGGCTGCAGCTGCTCGACCGCGCCCTCTATGTGGGCGATGTCGTAAAGCGCAAGGCTGAGGACTACATGAGCGGCACCGTCATCGGCACCCAGGCTGTCTGCACTCTGTTCCCCGCCACTCTCTTCAACGGCGGGCACATTACCCAGGCCATTACTGACGACCACTCGGTGCGTAACGTGGCCGCTGACGAGCTCATCAACGTCCACGAGTTCGTCGAGGGAGCCCTTGTCGTCTATGGTGACTGGGTCGGCCGCGTGGAAAATGTCTACGACGAGGTTGCTATCAAGCTCGCAAACAACTCAGTCGTCGTCGTTGAGGACCCCTCGGAGCTGACTCAAGACGACACCACCATAGACCGCCTCAGCGTCGGAGACACATGCAAAACAAAAAAGGGAAATCTGCGGAGGGGCCGCTGGCGCTTTGGCGCATATGACCCCAGTGTGCCCCCCGTCGGCATGGTAGTCGAGACACGAGCAACTGAAATCGACGTGCAATGGCTTGCAAGGAGCATTGGCTCCCGCAATCGTGCTTTCGCCGCGGAGGAGCCGCCAGTCACACTTGGCCGCGACGAGTTTGAGAGCCCCACCTTCTACAAGTACGACGCATCAGGCGGCACCGCCACAACACTTCCTCTGTCTGAGAATGGTGTCGATAAGTCATATCATGTTGCTGATGTGGCCGTGGGAGACCGTGTCCGCTTCAAGGATGTTGCGGGCGCTGCTGTCAAGTACGACGGCACCCACACTCTGCCCGACGGACATGCACAAGGCAAGGTCACGCGCATACCCCGGACTGACTCTTTGGGCTACGACCTCAACGTCTTTCTCGTTACGCAAACCCATAGCCAAGTCACCGTGCAATGGCAGGACCTTTCAATAACACACGACCTCAGCTCCGCCCTACTGCCCGACCCCAACGTCGAAGATGACGACGAGGTATGGCCGGGAGAGCTCATCTTCTCAAAAGAAAACCGCAAAGACAACGATGAAGAAGAATCAGAGACCAAGAGGCCCGCAAAAGTAGGCATTGTCCAGACTGTCAAGGGCCGAGATCGGATAGCAACTGTGCGGTGGTTCAAAAACGCTTTCGTAGAGTTCTTTGGCAATGACCTGCTCCCGCCATGCACTACAGGCGAGCTCAGTGATGCCATTGAAGATGTTAGTCTGTACGACATTTACTCGCTGCAAGCACTTACACGACGCCGTGGCGATTTCGTCATTCTAAATCCAGACAACGTTGAAGCTATACAGTCTACGACCAACATTACCGGCCCCAATTGGTTTGGCGAGGTCATTGATCTAGGCTTGGACGGTAAGCTGACTGTTCGTCTTGGTGCCGCGAAGCCTGTAGTTGATGTCAAGGTCCCCTATGAGTGCGTCCACCTTGCCTACAGCAGTGATATGGCCGATGATTTTGTCAACAACCTTGGGGAACTGGACGGCGACTCTATTGAAGACTCGGACGAAGATTTTGATTCCGATGACTTCGATTCTGCCTCTTTTAATGAAATGTGGATTGAGTACGAAGGCATGGAGGGCGAGCCACCCGTCGGAGATGAGAGCGACTGGTCAACCGAAGAGGAAGATGACGACCCTGATGACGACGATAACGATGACGAGTCAATGCCAGATCTAATTGACACCACAAAGGAAGATGTCGATACCACCAAGACTACCCCTGAGATCAAGTCACCTCCGACAAAAGAAGAGAAACCTGATTCACAGCCAGAGCCAGAGGTCGACGACACGCACATGGAGCACGGAAACACCGAGTCATCCGATGCAGGACCGGCATCCTTTGTCATCCTAGATACGCCCCCACCATCGTCACATCGCTATGTTGGCATGTCCTCGACATCGTCGTCCGCCTTCATGCGCCGTATTGCAAAAGAGCATAAGATCCTTCGCAGCTCATTACCGCCTGGTATCTACGTCCGCACCTGGGAGTCCCGCCTCGATCTTCTGCGCGTGCTCATGATTGGCCCCATCGACACGCCTTATGAGTTTGCTCCGTTCGTCATCGATTTTCACCTCGGTTCATCGTACCCACAACAAGCACCTGATGCCTATTTCCACAGCTGGACCAACGGCAACGGCGCAGTCAATCCCAATCTGTACGAAGATGGAAAGATTTGTTTGAGTTTACTAGGAACATGGCACACAGATGAGCGAAACGAGAGCTGGAGTCCTGCAAAGAGCACGCTGCTTCAAGTCCTGGTTTCGCTCATGGGTCTGGTGCTGGTAAAGGAGCCGTACTACAATGAAGCGGGATACGACGTACATCGTTCGGCACCAGAGACCAAGCTCAGCAGCGCCTTGTACACGGAGCGAGCCTACTTTCGCGCAAGGGCTTTCATACATCATGCACTCACTCACGACGTTGAGCCTTTCAAGCAGGAGCTAGAGTATTTGTACCTAAGTCAAGAAGAAGACGCACCGAAGCTACTTGACAAAGCAATCGCTGCCGCTAAGGACATTGTCGAGCGCAGTACTGACGCGAACGAAGAGGGGGAGCGTGATGGTCTGCGCAAGATCAGTTTGGGTGCTCTAGTCATGCTCAAGCGCCAGATTGAGAAACTCGAGGACCTGAGCAAGCCAAAGGTGTGAGTTTTTGGGAAGAAGGAGAGCAGAGAGCAGTGGAGTATTTGTCGTGTAGCTGGGCTTCTGATGTGGTGTAAGAAAAATGAATAGCATCTATGGTATACCCCCTCCCGCGGCGCTGAGTCAAGCACTTGAGTTAAAGAGAAGTAAAGAGGAGAAGAAAAAAATATATAAAACATCTTTTCAATAGGTGCAGTGTATTGTAAAGGAGTTAAGGTGAAGTCAAGTGAGAGCAGGGCAGCCCCTGCTCCGAAGGTAGATTCAGCGGCTACAATTACAATATTTTTTAGTCTCCAAGAGACACATGTACTTGGTATCCAGACCCTCTCTTTTCTCGCTTTTCATATACATAGCCATGACTCTTGATGCGTTCATTCGCCATGATATTCCCACCATCTAAAGCCCCCTTATCTTCTATCCACTGTATGCTCCAAGCCAGCAGCCCATTAGCCTCACCCGGACTCCAACATATCAGCGTAAAGATTCAATGCATTGCCAATCACATCCACAATGGCCCATGTCTCGGACCCCCTAAATATCATCGCCCACACCCTCAGCACCCCTGCACTAAGCTGGCGCATATAATTCGGAGAGTCGGCTGGGATATCTGGTTGAAGCGCAAACTCCGTTTCATCAAGCATACTCTTCACAATAGCCACGATTCTTTTCTCATCTTCTGTTAATGGTGGATCTGGATTGGGCGTTGCAAGAGCTTCGAGCCATTTACTCATTAGATATGCGCATTCAAGCGTACATAGCGAGTGCTGGATGCTCCAGATGAAAGATTGCGTTTTGGCAACGAGGCGGTAGCCAATCTTGATAGGGATAGATAAGGCTTGGGCGGAATGTAAGACTGCTCTTATGATTTTCGGGGATCGACGTATCGCGGGTCCTGCGCGGAACGCGTTGGCGATTAGCACTGGATCTCGTGTTTCGAGAGCGCGACCTGCGGTGTCGACGTAGAGGCGGATGTAGGCGAGGCGGAGGAGGGCAGTCGAGTTAAATGCCACCGGCCCGTTGTGATTCATGGGGTCGAGAGAGGATTCGGGGTTTTTGCGCCAGCCGATTTGCCAGTTTCGTAGGGCGTTTTCAAGGGACGTTACATCTTCTGTGCTGAGGTCTCCGGAGCCTTCGAAGCGGCAGCGGGCTACTTGGCGGAGGAAAAAGATGTGTTGGATCAAGGCGTGAATGAGGGCGTAGTTGCCTGAGGATGAGTTGAATTCTGTGACGTCTCGGCCTTGCTTTGTGAACAGTCGCTTCAAGGCGTCTTGAAATAGCACTTCCGGGATTTCTTTCTTGCGAGCCTCTCGCCACGAGGCTTCAGTGGATGCTCTGAACTCGGCTTCGTTGCAGGGCAACGTAAGCTTGACTTCGCTTGTTAGCATAAATGGTGGAATGTTATAGACGATGCAGTGGAGATTAGAAAAGCCGTAGACTATAAACTTTGTTCGCTTGACAGTTTCTCGGCGGATCCAGTCTGCCCAAGATATGTCACTGCGGAGTGGTTCAATCTCGAGCCCGTCATCTCGGATGAGTGTTGCCAAGATACTCTGGATGGCGAGCGCTTCTCTTAGAATCTCTTTGTGCTTAGCCCAAGTAGATAAAGCCATCAGCAGGAAGAGGGCCTGGGCCGTTTGCATGAGATCCTCCCCTGGAACAGTCATGTCATCGGATGGTAGGCCGAGTGGCCCAGTGGTAGAACCCTTTTGCTGGGGACTTCGCGAGCACGACTCATTCTCGTAATTGTTTGGCGATGTACAGTTTGACGGCGAATGGTACTGGAGCTTCACTAGGCGTGCATCGCGCCTCCTGATTCGCTCTGTCGCAATCGATTTACTGATGTTGAACAACTGTACCCCCTTTTCGCCTTCAAATGTATACTGCGTTCCAACTGCAGCTAGTGCCAACAGCAGCTCAACCGAACAAGTATCCACAGACATGGTTGGTATATGGAGCAACGGCATGTGTTCGTGGAAGCCGTTGATATAAGCTGCAATATACCTGCACAAGGCTAACCGAGTTGGGAGGACAAAGTCGGTAGGTATGACAGAGGAGAACTCGGTAAGCATCTCGAGAATTCTTTGCCGATCTCCATGTGATATTTCGGAAATTGGCCTGCTGCGTGTGGGCGGCTCTGGTATTACAGGCTCCTCTGGTTGCAGGGATGGAAATCGTGACCCAAAGCGCGAGAGCGAAGGAGGCTCATCAGAGTGAACCTGTCGCCAACCAGTCACCGGCGCAGTTGTTCTGCTAGGATCGGACATCATTTGTTGGTCATAGCTAAGCGAGTCGGGTGAGAAGAGTGGTATGGGTTGTTCAGTGTTGATCAGTGACGAAAAGTGGTACGAGTCCAGCGGCTCACTATCTAGGAACACGGCGAGACTGTCTAGCGAATTTGATATTGCAGATCCGTAGAAGCTATTGGCATGTTCAGTCTGAACAGTTGTGTGTTGGTTTTCCACTGTCGTAGCAATCGTCTCAGGCTGCGAGGGCAGAGGTGTTGGCATTGCGTGAGCAGCTCGGTCCACCATATTGCCATGGAGCGCCTGGTACTCTGCAGCCATTGACAGCGCGGTCAGAGAGTATCCGCTATGTAGGCCAAACGTCATGGATGCATGCGATCTCGAAGGTTGGTGCATGGACTGCACATCCACAACAGCTGGCGAGGGCATCATGCTGGGTATCTCCGGAACTGGACGACCAGCATCGAAGCTCGACCGAAGTCGTTTGTTGGGGCGCGTCTCTGCAGGTGTGTAGACGCTCTCAGCCGGAGATTGCACATGATTTTGCTGGTTGTCTTGGCCCTTGCGATGCGTGAGGCGCTCATGGCGAACAAGCAGATCACTTTGATCCAGAATAAGCCATACGAATGTGTAAAGAGAATATCTCATACCTTCTCGTGAATGAATAGCTGCATTCTGAGCAGCTAAAAGGTTTCACGCCGCTATCTCGAAGCAAGTGAGCGAAAGTACACGATCCGAATCAAGCGACTTACGAATGCGCTCATGTCGTTGCAAATGCTCGAGCCTAGCAAAGGCACGCTGACAGTGTGGGCACTGAAAACGTTTCTCTTTTTTGCCAGGCTGGGCTTGGGTCATTTGCGCTTCGCCAGGGGCGGCTTCCATGGAGAGTCTATGGGAAGTTCGGCGGTCCACACGGGATCAGTCGCGATTGGTTCAGTTGATGACACCGAGGTATTGGAGTATCCTCAAGGCACTGTATGGCATTTGGAGACTGTGGGAGAATGTATGACACGGTCGGATACGGAGTGCAGCAGTGTGGGGAAAAGAGACGGAGCGCGGAGATCAACCAGCTGACATGCGGGGTGCAGAGGAAGCCGGCAAAGCCACCAATCAATTTCGCCACGCAGCGGCGCCCGATTGAGTTCACCTATCACGGCACCAGAAGATTGAGGGTATGGTAAGAGGCTCATATTGCGATAGTAAAGTGTCTGGCTGGTGGTGATGATGACGATGACGATGAATGTTGGTTGCAAGCAGTGTTTGCAGCTCGGATACGTACGTGGGGTCGTATCGCTACTAACCACCCAGTAAGATACAGTGGAAGACAACCCATCCTACATCACCCCCATAAATTTAAAGCTGCCGCTCAGGCCCTGGCGCTTCTGTTGCCCAACTCTCGCGGCATCTCGCCCTTTTCGGCCATCTCATTCAGAACCTTTTCGGCCGTCTTCATTGCGTCCACACCAGCTGGCACGCCGCAGTATGTCGTCGCGTGGATAATGGCCTCGCGGATTTCGAGCTCAGAGAGTCCGTTGTTCCGGGCTCCTCGGACGTGGACAGCCAGCTCAGGCGCACGATTGAGCGCCATGAGCATGCCGATGTTGATCAAACTCCTCTGCTTCTTGTCGAGACCGGGGCGTGTCCACGCGTAGCCCCAGCACATTTCAGTGACGAGCTCCTGTCCGGCTCTCGAAAACTCCGTCGAGCCATTTTCCAACGCACGGTTGACGTACTCGTCACCCACGACGCTTCGTCTCACCTTGAGACCTTCTTCAAATAGCTGCTTGTGTAGCTCATCGTACTTGGGGTCGGTCGACATGGTCGATGCACGGTAGGGACGGTGGTGATGGCTCAGTCAGGTAGGTGTTGCACGACCTGCCTGTTTCTGTAATGACTTTTGAAAGCAAGAGGTGTTTTTTTCTCTGGAGAGTTACAACGGTGCAATGAGAGATAGGTCAGCAGGATTGCGAAAGTTTTTCAGAGAGTTCAATTGACAGCGGACTCGGGCTATTACCCCACCCATGCTTCCCCAACTTCCCCAACTTCCCCAACCCCGTACTGTGGAAAATCATGACCAGCCACAGAAGAGCCATGCACCCTAACTTTGTTCTTCTATTGAACATCATATGTCATACACACTATGGGGCTTTCTTACAAACAACTTGCCGCTCATGTCCCGTTCGACTTAGCTTGCCAGTCTTCCTGCCCGCCGAGATAGCGATAGACTATACGAGAATCCAAATCTCTACAACGTGGGTCGTTGGCAGCTCCATCATACGTTTTTAGTCCAACCTCACCAAGTACATTCTGAGAACCCACTCTCTTTGCCATGTCCACCGCAAGTCCAAAGTCTTTGCGCATCAGCTGTACCTTGAAGCCCTGCTTCCACCCTCCCGAAGATGGCGCTTCTGGGTAGACATGGGGAACAGGACAGAATTTGTCGCATATAGTGTTTTGGGCTGTACCTGCAGCATACACCTTGGCCAGCGTACGAGGGTCCAACCCACTACGCATGCCCATATCAAACGCTTCGGAGCAGGCTATTGCAATTATGCCAGAAAGGTAGTTGTTTGATAGCTTTGCTGCGAGACCAAGAGATGGTCCACCACAAGGTATCACTTGTTCACCCATAAGACCCAGCAAATAAGTGAGACGCCCCATGTTTGCATCCTCCTCTCCGCAGCCTAGGAAGAAAGCGATTGTGCCTTTGATTGCGCCCACCACACCGCCACTAACTGGAGCATCATAGAACGCTGCCGAAGGGAAATGATTCGTAACATGTTCTTTCACTGCCAGACTTGTTGCTGTATCAATTGTCGAGCAATCGAGAAGTAGCTTGTTCGAGACATTCGTACTACACATGCCATTGTCGGGGTCGAGATATACAGATCGTATGTGCGCACCCTCGGGTACCATTGTGATAATTGTGTCCTGCTTGTCGATTAGTGACGGTTGCACACGTTCTAGGCTCAGCATACGGCTTGTTGTGCGACATCCTTAGCGTTCTTTCCCTTCAACACTCTATTGGGAAACTCGGCACAAATGTCGTCTACTGCTTGTTCGACAACATCATAGACCCATATACGCGAATCTTCTGGCAGCTTCCTAGCCAGGTGGGACAACATCGGTGCTCCCATAGCACCCAGTCCAATGAAGCCGAGCTTGTTGAAATCGTATGGTTGCGGCATTTTGTTCGCGTACGGTAGGAATTGCAGGAGGGCTGGGTGTCAAATTCGATCAGTCATAAATTTCTGGCACTTATATCGCGTTAGATAACGAAGCTTGGTGTAATGATGAGGATTTGCTGGGAACCCAACACAATACGTACGCCCACCTACCTAACTCGTAGTGGCTGGCTCGCAATTAACAAGGTGGGGCACAGTTCTCCAACATTCTGTTTCAATCAGCTTCCCCAACATCATTATACGCAAACCCTGACGCACACACCACCACTTGTGGAACAGATGAGATGAAGGAATGATCACCTGTGCGATATTTGTCCGTGTTTCTGTTCACATAAGGCCGTGTTGTGTCCTGTTGTTTTCTACCAGACAACAACGAAAAAGCAATACTCATAATAAGAGCACAAGATTCCGATACGTTGGCAAGCTAATTAAACTGGCTCTTTAATTCCTGGGAGAATATGATTGTTGACAACACATATCACAGCTTTCAGCATGAATCGACAGCTGTCGTTTCAGTTCATGCTCTATCGTGTGGCCATTTTGCACTCCCAGAATACCAGTTTGTGGATCATGTTACGCCCGACGCTCGTCGAACTGTTCCTTCGTTAGCATTCCTGGTTCAGCATGTGAATCAATATACCGGAAAACGAACACGACTCATCTTCGATCTAGGCTTGAGAAGAGACGTGAAGCGCTATCCGCTACCGATACAGAAACATATCGACACCAGGCAGCCAATGAGCACTGACCCGGACGTCACCAAGAGCCTCGCGAAGGGCGGACTTACACCAAAGGACATTGACTATGTAATTTACTCACATGTAAGTACAGATTAATAGAGTTACGCTGGTGGACAACGAGTAACTTACTTGTGTCAGGTACATTGGGACCATGTCGGAGAGCCTCGAGACTTTCCAGATTCAACTTTCGTCGTCGGACATGGCGCAGTAACTCTGCTCAGCGGCGCTTCTTCTTCACTCCGAGGCGGCCATTCCTTCTTCGAAAGCGACCTCTTGCCGAAGGGTCGGACCGTGGAACTACCCGAACCCATCGTGCATGGATTGAAGAAGCACGATTCGGGCACAATCTATGGGGAGATCAATCTCCATGGGTCATGGCAAAGTCAAGACTGTCTCCCGGAAGTTCTAGACCTTTTCAACGACGGGTCCCTTCTAATCGTAAACGCACCTGGACATCTCCTCGGACATATCAATCTTTTGGCAAGGACTTCTCCGAGCCACCGGATGTACATGGGCGGGGATGCCTGTCACGATAGGAGAATACTGACCGGTGAAAAGAAGATTGGCGAATGGAACGATGCACATGGCCAAGTCTGCTGCATACATGCCGATCGGAAGCAAGCCGAGGAAACTATCGAAAGAATTCGGATTTTGGAGAAGGAAGGGGTTGAGATAATCTTTGCCCACGACACTGAGTGGGAGAATGATCCGGCGAACACGACTAGATTCTTTGGTGTAGTGTGAATACTTTATGCAAGTAATATTATACCATGCACAACTTTTATCCCATTGCAACTTTAATCAAAGGGTCCGAAACTCTATCGTTCCAGCAACCAGAAATCCATCGGGCAATCTGCGATCTTTGGCGCGCGTGCGTTCCGAACGAGCAAATCGCAAGTGTTACCGAACCCTGTCGTCTTTTCCCCACATTTGAGAGTTGGGGAAATGTGGGGCGAGCCAGTACTTGGCTGAGCCGCGGGTTCCGCCTCCTTTTGGAAAATAGGGACAATCTTTTGTAGATCGATGGTTGCCCGTTTCCGTATTCTTGTCCCAAAATGGATTACAGGGGGGTTTGCTCATCCCATCCGATGGTGGCAAAACCTTCCTGGGCACGTTGGAACAGTTCGGCGTATTCTGAATCGCAGTCACAGGATATGAATAGTAATCAGTCATTTTTCATGCCAGTCGAACATGGGTTACAGACATATTCCTGTTGCGTTTTCATGGGCACAAGCTGCCTCGTATCGAAGGCTCTCATTAAATTTACACTGATTTTGTTTCGGTTGTAAGCACGACCCCACCTTCTCTCTTTCTCTCCCACTTTTTTTACCCCACCTTTGGAGAAGATGATACTGTAGCATCGGCACATTCACATGCTGAGAGCTCGGTGACAATGCAAGATAGTTACAATGCATTTTGATGTTGTCATAATGTTATATAAATGACGCATCACGATACCGCTCTACTGATAATCGGGGAAGAGTTGGGGAAATGAGTCCCCAAGAGTAACGATGGAGGCAGAGAAGATGGGGAGATGAGCAGAATGCATGGGAAGCTCACGGCTTCATAGAAACAACCTTGGTATGTTATTGTTGCGAACATTATTTAGAATGTAGGAACCTAGAAAGTTCAGCTCGTTGCATAAAACGTTGTGTTTTTTGAAGTTGTGATGGCCTTTTACAATTCCAATGTTGAACTCAATCGCAAAGCAGGGCAGCACCAC